TAGGCGTTGCTTTGCTCTCCGTAGCGACGTTTCGGAGGCACGATTCCTCCCGGGACCTCGGCGGGCTGACGTGTTAGAGACCGGTGACATCGGCGGTGACGAGCTCGGCGGGCTGACGCGTTACGTGGAAAAACCTCGGCGGGCTGACGCGTTACTAGGGAGCACCTCGGCGGGCTGCCGCGTCAGACGCTGGCTGGCTCTGGGCCGTGCCTCGGCGGGCTGACGTGTTAGAGACCGGTGACTTCGACGGTGACAAGCTCGGCGGGCTGGAATTCGCAGGTTTTTCGGGGTAGAATACGGATTTCGGAGCACTGCAAACACCTGGAGCAGGTTTTCGGAGGAAAACGAGCGAATTTGGAGGCCCGGGCTGCACTTTTGACGCAGGACACGAAAAAACGCACTTTTCGGAGTTCGCCGTTTTCAGCGCTTTTTGCACCAAAAACGGAGTGGTGACATTGACCGGTGACATCGGAAAAAACGTTCAGCGGGTTGAGAATTTGGCTGTTTTGCAACCAAAAATGCCAAATAATTAGGGGTGTATAAGCTGCCTTTCCTTACTACTAGGACCACCTACGAAAGCTTCGAGAAGGGAGGCTTCTGGCTGGCGAAACCGGGACGACTTGGGCCAGACCGTGGAAGACCTGATGTGCAAGCAGCCAGCTTGCCGCGCTCCCCCTCATTCGAAGCCCGTCCAGTTTGCGAAACCACCGCCAAAGCCCAGGGCAATCATCAGCTCCTTCGCCACGCTGCGCCGGCGGGCCTCGGGCAGCTTGTGGAATAAGGCAAATGCAGAGCGCCCCACAAGCGTGTCTGGGACCCCATCTCGATCTCCTTGCGAATCTCCGGCGGCAGCTGCTTCATGAACTCTGCCCGCAGTCATGGGCCGCTGGCGAGTAGCGTCTGGATCACTGACGAAAGCTCTGCATCGCATCGAAGGCCTCTCCAGCGCGGAGGTCCGTGCACTTGTCCGGGTGCACCAAGTGCATCATCATCTTGAAGCAGGACGACGCAGAGCCGGGGAAGATCCTGAAGCCGCACCTCTCGCCAACTCGATGCGTTGGGCTCAGCACGAGCTGCACCGCCAGGGACCGCGCGGCATCCATGGTCATGGAATGTCCGGGGCCTGGTTGCCAGTCATTGCCAAGCATTCGGGTACTTGCTGGGACGTGCCATCTTTATCTTTTGAAGCATTTTCTCAGAAGGAACTTGGCTTTCGACACCTACCCGGAAACAGCAGCCGAAGTCGAAGGCGTCTGAGCGGCAACTCCACCCGGTCCTGGAGATGCTTGTCAAATGGCCTAGTTCTGTGCCCCCCTGCGGCGGTTTTTTTATTTATATAAAAATCTAAATGCTTCGATCCCTCGTGCTTCGATCCCTGACATCCCGTGCTTTCTGTGCCCCCCTGAGGCGGTTTTTTATTTATATAAAAATCTATATGCTTCCATCCCTGGCATCCCGTGCTTTCTGTGCCCCCCCTGAGGCGGTTTTCTATTTATATAAAAATCTAAATGCGTCGATCCCTGGCAGGTTGTCTCCCGTGCTTTCCGTGCCCCCTGAGGCGGTTTTATATTTATATAAAAATCTAAATGCTTCGATCCCTGGCAGGCTGTCTCCCGTGCTTTCCGTGCCTCCCTGAGGCGGTTTTTTATTTATATAAAAATCTAAATGCTTCCATCCCTGGCAGGCTGTCTCCCATGCTTTCCGTGCCCCCCTGAGGCGCTTTTTTATTTATATAAAAATCTAAATGCTTCGATCCCTGGCATCCGCTTTCTGTGCCCCTTGAGGCGGTTTTATTTTTCTAAAAAGCTAAATGCTGCAATCCCACTGCAGGCAGTCTGACAAGGAATGCGAGCGTTTAGGTTTTATATAAAATAAAAACTTTTTTTTTTATCGAAACACTTCCTCGCGGCTTGTCAAATGGCCTAGCTCTGTGCCCCTTGAGGCGGTTTTATTTTTTCTAAAAAACTAAATGCTTCAATCCCTCTGCAGGCAGTCTGACAAGGAATGCGCGCGTTTAGCTTTTTATATAAAATATAAACTTATTTTTTCAATTAAGTGCTTACGGATAGGTCCCTGCGCAAGGTGTCTGGGGACCTATCGATTCGAGCAGTGTGAAACTCTTGGCCTGCAGGCAGTCTGACAAGGAACGTTTAGCTTTTTATATAAAATAAAAACTTATTTTTTCAATTAAGTGCTTACGGATAGGTCCCTGCGCAAGGTGTCTGGGGACCTATCGATTCGAGCAGTGTGAAACTCTTGGCCTGCAGGCAGTCTGACAAGGAATGCATGCGTTTAGTTTTTATATAGAATGAAAACTTTATATTTTTTTTTAAAAAAAGAATACTTCCTCGCGGCTTGTCAAATGGCCTAGCTCTGTGCCCCTTGAGGCGGTTTTGTTCATATAAAATCTAAATGCTTCAATCCCTCTGCAGGCAGTCTGACAAGGAATGCATGCGTTTAGTTAGTTTTATATAAAATATTAAAATTTATTTTTTAAAAAAAAGAAAATAATACTTCCTCGCGGCTTGTCAGATGGCCTGGGTCTGGCGCTGGGGGGAGGTTTTTTGGGCAGTGCCGAGTGGGCGCGTAGGATTAATACTGCTTCGCCCAACGACCTGGAACTCAGCTCCGTGCGCTTCGCATGTTGGCATCCCTATATCACACACCTCAAGGATGAGGATTGCTTTTCTTATTTATATAAAAATCTAAATGCCTGTGTGCCAAGTCTGAGCAGCAGCGGCTCGATTTATTTATATAAAAATCTAAATGCCTGTGAAAAACCGCCTCAAGGGGGCACAGAAAGCACGGGGACAACCTGCCAGGGATCGAAGCATTTAGATTTTTATATAAATAAAAAACCGCCTCAGGGGGCACAGAAAGCACGGGGACAACCTGCCAGGGATCGAAGCATTTAGATTTTTATATAAATAAAAAAACCGCCTCAGGGGTCACAGAAAGCACGGGAGACAACCTGCCAGGGATGGAAGCATTTAGATTTTTATATAAATAAAAAAACCGCCTCAGGGGGCACAGAAAGCACGGGAGACAACCTGCCAGGGATGGAAGCATTTAGATTTTTATATAAATAAAAAACCGCCTCAGGGGGGCACAGAAAGCACGGGAGACAACCTGCCAGGGATGGAAGCATTTAGATTTTTATATAAATAAAAAACCGCCTCAGGGGGCACAGAAAGCACGGGATGCCAGGGATCGAAGCATTTAGATTTTTATATAAATAAAAAACCGCCTCAGGGCGGCACGGCAAGCACGGGAGACAACCTGCCAGGGATGGAAGCATTTAGATTTTTATATAAATAAAAAACCGCCTCAGAGGGGCACAGAAAGCACGGGAGACAACCTGCCAGGGATGGAAGCATTTAGATTTTTATATAAATAAAAAAACCGCCTCAGGGGGGGGCACAGAGCTAGGCCAGTTGGGCGAGCCAGTATCAAACGAGGTTGGGTACGGGACATGCATTTTCTGCCGCTGCTTTTGATGCACCGTTACTAAGGGGGCCGTTGGGCGAACCCGTACTAAGGGGGCCGTTGGGCGAGCCAGTATCAAACGAGGTTGGGCGGACCAGTACTATGGGCCGTTGGGCGAACCCGTACTAAGGGGGCCGTTGGGCGAATCCGTACTAAGAAGGCCGTTGGGCGAACCCGTACTATGGGCCGTTGGGCGAACCCGTACTAAGGGGCCGTTGGGGCGAGCCAGTATCAAACGAGGGCGAGCCAGTATCAAACGAGGTTGGGCGGACCAGTACTATGGGCCGTTGGGCGAACCCGTACTAAGGGGGCCGTTGGGCGAACCCGTACTACCTACGTGCCCGCTCGGCACCGTGCCCGCTCGGCACTCCTACCCCTAAAGTGCCTGCTCGGCACTGTGCCGCTCGGCACCCCCTAACCTAAAGTGCCCGCTCGGCACTGCCTACTCCTAATCTAGAGTGCCCGCTCGGCACGTTTACCTAAGTGCCCGCTCGGCACTGTGCCCGCTCGGCACTCCTAAGTGCCCGCTCGGCACTCCTAAGTGCCCGCTCGGCACTGGAAAAAACCCCAAAAAAAAAGGCCGCGGGCCCGAGCGCTTTTTCCAGGTCGAGGCCGAGGTCGAAGGTCGCGCCGGGCTCACACTCCTGCGAGGGATCGATCGGAAAAAAGGGGGAAAACGACGGCGAGGGGGTCCTCGGCCTCGGCCACGCTTCGGAGGCGGCGCCGCGGAGCCCTGGCACGAAAGCGAAGCCGATCGATTTCAACGGCCGACGGATGAGCCTTGAGCTGCTCCAGCTCCCGACGGAGCGCGACGGCGTCCGCCTGGCGGGGCGCAACGGGAGGGCAGGGGGGGGGAAGACGACCGGCAGCGGGCCTGGAAGCCCTGCGTCCAGGCTTTCTCGCCCCGCAAGGCCTCCTCCAGGACCGCCACGCGTGTGGCCTGACCAGGGAAAACCCCCCCAAAAAGGGGGGAAAAGAAGGAAGGGAAACGCGCCTGCGAGGCGATCTCCTTCATCAGCTCCACCTGCAAAACGGGTTTGCGGGTCCCGCCCAACCCCGAAGAAAAAAAAGGGTCGCGCCTTCTCCCGTTCGAGGACCAGCACCCGTGCCTCCGCCACGGAGGCACGGGTCTCCGCGGCGTTGAGCTTCTCGTCCTGACAGGAAAAAAAAAAAAAGGCCGGCGTCCGAGCGACGAAGAACGCGCCTTCACGGCGAGCTCAACGCGCGCCCGGTCCTGCCAGGCGAGCGGAAAAAAAAGGAAAAACGAAGGGGAAAAAACGCGCCTTGGCGGAGTTGAACTCCGCCTCCCTCCGGCGCTTGGAGGGCGGGGGCCTCCGCGAGCGACGCAAAAACCGAGAAAAAAAAGGCGAACGACGAAGAACGCGCCTGCGGCTCGCCCCCCAAGCCGCCTCCTGGCGGGCACGGAAAAAAGAGGGAACCCCTCCCAAAAAAAAACCCTCGGCCGTCCTCCCAGCCACCGCCCCAGCCGACGGCTGGGACGTCCCACCCGACGTCCCAGCCGGCCGAGCCGCCGCACCCGTCCCACTCCTGACAGGCGTGAAAAAAAAAGAAAAAAAGGCGAGGGCAAACCGGGCCTTGGGCGGCTCCCACCGACCCCAGCTCTCGTCCTGACAGGAGACGGCAACGCACCAAAAAAACGGCACGAAAAAAACTCCGAACGTCCTCCGCCACTCCGCCAGCTCCACTCATGGCCGGATGCCGGGCGCGCCGGGTGCTGATGCTGCTGTGGATGCTGCTGTTGATGCTGCTGCTGATGCCCAAGACCTTGCCCCGCTACCCGAGACCTTGCCGCTACCCGAAACCTTGCCCCGCTACCCGAAGCCTTGCCCCGCTACGAAGCCTTGCCGCTACCCGAAGCCTTGTCCCGCTACCCGAAACCTCCTTATAGCTCTCTACCCGAAACCTTGCCCCGCTACCCGAAGCCTTGCCGCTACCCAAGACCTTGCCCCGCTACCGGAAGCCTTGCCAGAACCCCTTGCCCCGCTACCGGAAGCCTTGCCCCGCTACCCGAAGCCTTGTCCCGCTACCCGAAACCTTGCCCCGCTACCCGAAGCCTTGCCCCGCTACCCGAAGCCTTGCCCCGCTACCCGAAGCCTTGCCCGAAACCTTGCCCCGCTACCCGAAGCCTTGCCCCGCTACCCGAAGCCTTGCCCGAAACCTTGCCCCGCTACCCGAAGCCTTGTCCCGCTACCCGAGCCAGTGCTGTTGCTGGTGCTGGTGCTGTTGCTGGTGCTGTTGCGCTCGAGCCCTGCCCGCAAATCAAGTCCGATTACGGCACAGTCTGCTTGCAAAAAAACACCAAACGGGTTTGCGTCATGCAAGCACCCCCGAAGAGGTATTTTCCATTGGTGTCCTTGTCAAGAACCCAGATTTTCAATGAATATATTGCGCCAACTTTGATTCAATGGTCGTGTGGGACAGAATGGGGGAATCCTGTGTCAAAGAGCAGGAGTTGACCTGCAATCAGGCCTCGGTCGGAACATCTTTGCCCACCGATTTGGCAATAATATAGGGAACCCAGTGCTCCTGTTCTGCATGCTACTGAGCGCCACTGAAGCTGTTTGCAACTGCATCCTTCAAGACAAGGCCCAAATTCAGTGAC